CAGCAGCAGCAGCAGCAGCAGCAGCAAACCAAAAAGGAAATTGAATTAAAAGCTGCGTGGAAGCCGCTGCAGCTCATTCAGCTGCCAGTCCTTCGGGAGTACATACAGCACGAGCTCTGCGACGGAGTGAGAACTCCTTTTTTATTTTTTTATTTTTAATTTTTTTATTTTGTATTTCTTCTTTCTTTCTTTTTATTTCTTCTTTTCTTTTTCAGTTTCTTTCCTCTTTTTTGTGTTTCTTTCTTTCTTTTTTTGCCCTTTCTGTTCCATTTTTTGATCTCTTTTTGATCTCTTTTTGATTTCTTTTTGATTTTTTTGCCTTTTTTTCTTTTTTGTATTTTCTCTTTTTTGTGGATTTTGTTTTCCTTTTTTCTTTTGTGTTTTTCTCTTTTTCTTTTCTTTTTTTCGTTTATCACTTTTGTGTCTCATGTCTCATCTTTTTATCTTTTAAATTTTGTTTTCCTTCTAATTTCCTTTATTTCTATTTGATCTTTTTTACTTCTTTTTATCTCTTCTTTCTTTCTTTTTAATTTCTTTTAATTTCTTTTAATTTCTTTTAATTTCTCTTTAGGTTCTCTTATATCTTCCCATTTCTTTCCAATTTCTTTTTCATTTCTTTATTATTTGTTCATTTCTTTTTCATTTTTATTTCATTTTTATTTTTTAATTTTTTTGTATCTTTTTTATTCTCACTATACCCCCACACCTTTTCTTCCTCCTCCCGTAACCTTTCTACCCCGACGCACTCCTGCTGCTGCTGCTGCTGCTGCCGCTGCTGCTGCCGCTGCTGCTGCTGCCGCTGCTGCTGCCGCTGCTGCTGCTGCCGCTGCTGCTGCCGCTGCTGCTGCTGCTGCAGGGGCGCTACGAGCTGGAGCGGGTGATAGACGACTTCATATTTCTTTGCTTTCTTTGCGGAAATGATTTTCTGCCGCATTTGCCGCACCAGTCTATACAGCGCGGCAGCATAGACGCGCTGCTTGAGGTGTACGTACACCTCAGACCCCACACCCTCAGCAGCTACCTCACGCATGCAGGCAAAGTCGACCTGCAGCAGCTGCAGCACTTCCTCGCGGCTTTCGCCAAAGTCGAGGAAGAACTCATCAAACGCGAACTCATCCGCAAGGTCCAAACCCTAAACCCTAAACCCTAAACCCTAAACCCAGGCCCTACGCGCCCAACCTCAACCGCTGACGCTGCCGGGGCGGGCAGCAGCGATTCGCAGCTGCGGCAGCAGCAGCTGCTGCGGCTGCTCCTGCTGCTGCTAGGACTGCTGCTGCTGCTGCTAGGGCTGCTGCTGCTGCTGCTAGGGCTGCTGCTGCTGCTGCTAGGGCTGCTGCTGCTGCAGCAATTTACTCTGCTATTTGAGCACCTGAGGCTGTCTCTTTTCTCTAGTTTGTTGTTTTCTCTTTTGCTTGCTTCTGCTGCTCCTCGCCTCCTTTTGCTGCTGCTTCTTGCCTCCTGTTGCTGCTGCTCGTCCCCTTTTGCTGCTGCCAGCAGCTGCTGCAGCGTGTGGTGTCTTGCTGCTGCTGCAGGAGCGCATGCGGGAGAAGTACCACCAGGACCAGCAGCGGCTGCATGGGGCCGCGGGGGCCCTCCAACAGCGGGACATGCAGCAGCAGCCCCACTGGCAGCAGCAGCAGCAGCAGCAACAGCAGCAGCAGCAGCAGCAGCAGCGAAGTCAGGGGCTGCCTTCAAACGAAGAAGTTGCCCGCCAGCTGAAGCAAACACTCCTCAACAAAGGGGGCCCTAAGGCTTCTGATGGGGGCCCTTCTGCTGCAGCAGCAGAAGGTTCAGATGCAGCAGCAGCAGCAGCAGCAGATGATGAGGACGACGCAGATGGCGCCGACACTGTGGCAGAAAATGGGGAGGGCTGCGCAGCCTCCCCCTCAGCAGCAGCAGCAACAGCAGCAGCAGCAGCAGCAGCAAGTGAGGACGCGTCGCGCTGCGGCTCTCGGCGTCCGGCGAAGCGGCCGAAGGGCGACGAGGACGCAGCAGCAGGAGAAGCAGCAGCAGCAGCAGCAGCAGCAGGAGGGTCGCGGAGCCGGCAAGAAGACCTGGATTTGTTTCGAGCGCGCATGCAGCAGCTGCTGAACAGCTCGAGGGAGTTGGGGCTGCATGCGCTGCTGCAGGAAGGAGCAGCAAGCGGGCTGGGGTGCCGCAGCAGAGAGCAGTGGCGGCTGCTGTACTACCAGGAGAAGTTCCGGCTGGAAGCAGGAGACTCTGTTGCTGCTGCTGCTGCTGCTGCAGCAGACCACTACCTCAGGGGCCTCCAGTGGGTGCTGCTTTATTACTGCCAGGGCTGCAGCAGCTTCGACTGGTTCTTTCCTTTCCACTTCGCGCCCCTCGCCCTCGACCTCTGGCACGCAGCAAAGAGGCGCGTCGCCAAGCTGCAGCAGCAGCAGCAGCAGCAGC